TTCACAAGAATACAGTTTTACTGCAGGGAATTAAAGTAATTATATTGTAACATGACGCCCGAAAGCCGGATTAGCGGAGGTAGAGTAGGCGTTCATTGCTAAGCAACGACTCGGTAAACAGGTTCGCGTGGAAATTAAAACGCACGCAACAATAGAAGAACTGCCGTTTCTATGGGATGGCGAGGTAAACAGAACTCTATAACAACAGGGGAATTGTTAGGAAAAGGCGTTTTCTGTTAGATCCGCCCCGAGGCTATATAACGAGGGTACTAGGCACGCTGAGGTAATAACTGAGGAAGTCCCTTGAGACGGCAGTCGAAGATGATTGAGAAAAGACGGCGACGAGACTTCGTGTGTGCTGTAGCACCGCGATATCTGGAATGTGTGATTGAGTGAGACTGTTATATTTCCTGTGTTAGAATCCATTGCCAGGAAACGGCTAGTGGAGACTATAACAGACTGAGGACACTAATGGGCGTAACAGTGATTTGCGAAATGTGCAGATTAGCGGCAGCGTTGTATTACTTGTAGTAGTTCCGAGTTGAGTGTATAAGTTCAATAAATCCAAACAACCATCCAATGCCACGTCTAAAGTCTGAGAGATAATCCAGAATCCAAGCTTGGACAGCCTTTCCTAACAACGTCAGATTTGAGGTTTTCAGGGAGGTGACTATGAAGAATGCCATCTTCTGGGATGTGGCGCCGTGTAGATCTTGTGTAAACCGACGTTTCGGAGGAAAGTATCGCCTCCATCTTCCTCAGAAACATCGGCTTACACAAGATCTACACGGAGCCGCATCCCAGAAGACGGTATTCTTCTCTCATAACAAGTTTCTACTGCAGTTTACCATATTAATACACATTTATTATATTTATATATATTAATATGGGCCGCGACATGTTGCGACGTATGTGTTCCTTAATTATCGTTCATAATTACTCTATATGGAGGAAATTCTTATGCCCTAACCCCGAGGCTCTGAAATCTGTGATATCTTGACCTCCTAATTGACATATAAATTTACACAGCCCCCATCCACCCCCCAAAAATAAGCCGATCAACGAAAAATGCAGCTCTACATATTGTTACAGGCCCCCATCACACTGTACGGGGGCACCAGAAACCGAAATGTCTTTACAACTTCTCTACACCTACAGTAAACTATAAAATCTTCGTATGCGGTCACAAAAATAATTGCGAATTGTTTTGTCGCTTAGAAATACATGTACATTTTTCGAAAGTACCTGTATTGAATCTTAGTGACTTGCCCAGACTGTGTTTTACACAGTTTTTAGAAAGTCGGTGACTCCCTTTATTTTATGCTCCCCCCCCCCAGGGGTCTCTATCCAAAATTTCAGAAACTATCCCTAAACAGATCTAGAAATTCTTCTCTGCAGTTCTATGGTTGTACTAGCTCGTTTTTCTCCTCATTAATTTTATAAAAAACGCACTTCGTGGCCTGTAGTCCGCAAGCGAACTATACCGACCGAGCGACCGCCGCTTGTCGGCGATCTTAGTACCAACTTTTGCGGATAGAATGTGTGACGTGGTCAATGCAACGAATCCTCACGGCTTTTAATCTCAGATTTCTAGACCGGAGCCGCTATTTCCTTGGAATAACTGCTCAATTATCGTGCAGTGGACCCCGTTCCAGACCCACTACGTCTCATAAAATCTGGTAGTGCCGGGAATCGAACCCGGAACCTCTGGATCTGTAGCCAGGAACTCAGGTTCCTCAGCCAGGTTGTCTCATTAAGTTCATACCTCACACAAAAATACGGGAATCTATCAAGTGCATGCAATTCTGAGGCATTCAGCACACAAGACACACCAGAGATATCTATGGAACGTATGCAACCCCAACACACGCGAACTGGATCGTGTCATTCGGCGGTGTATAATTTCAGCAGTTATAATAACGTCGTTAAGCAACAAAATATTGTCTATAGTACATGAACTTGCTTCAAAAGTTAATCACTTGGTCGATAATACCTTGCTGTCATGAAGCTCCAAGGTTCATTTCCATGTTCACAAAATTATGCCACTAAAATTTATCGTGAGCAACTTTAATCGATCCCATAACATCACAACTTATTTCTTTAAGGCCTATCTTAATATTATCTTCAAACTTAGTCTATCTTCTACACTGCCTTTTCCTTGGAGATCTTCCTCCCCCCCCCAAAAAAAACTGGGGTTTCAGGTTTTCACGGCGGTGACTGTGAAGATTAGTGTCTTCTGAGGTGCGAAAACCTGCAGTCGGTTAAATACTTACCATAATTTTGCAGGAATCTAGGCGTCTCCAATTTCAGGGTATGACTCTTCTAAAAGACATTTTTACCCTGAAGATGGAGGCATAATATTCCACCGAAATTTTCTTACACTGATGACAGGTATCAGGTTCGTTAAAACATTGGTACCTATATATCAGACTAAACGGCATCATATCCCAGTAGACAGAAATGCTTATTATGTTATAATTCATTCCTCATTTGGGGCAAGTGTAACAAACGGGCAGCTCAGCCCCCCAAAAAAACACATTCTAATAAATTATGATTTATTAATTTTGAAAATAATTTGAGGTTTATAAAACGCAGAGGCACTTAAGCCCTTTTCAAATGACAGCATTTATGAGTACGGACTATGCAGCTGTATTTGAAATACAGCAACAAATAATTCAGTATAAATGTGACGAGGTAGGTGAGGGTCAGACCGTGGGGGTGGCGGGGTTGGCGGGAGGGGGCTGCTGATTGCGTGGTATTGATGACTTCCGCAGCAGGCAGTAGGCCTATGCTTTCTGGTGACAGGGCAATAATCATGATCTACCCCCCCCCCACTCATACCTCCACATCCCAACCCCTCTCAAAAACACATGCATTCCTCTGGCGTCGTTTTTTTTTGTTGGAAAATCGTGGAAAATCTAGACAGATTACATCCCTACCGTGCAGTGTCACACTGAGACAAGCACCCCATATATAAATTAAAATGAACTATATAAAAGTTAAAAAGACTGAATTTTTTATCGTTAACATAAATGTCAATGACGAAAATGACGGTTATGATAGTGATGATGTTAAAAAATAACAGTTATAAAAGTATTGAATTCGTGAACAGCTCAATATGCAATATCAAAGAGATTATAAAACTCAATAAAAAAGAAATATTTTTGTTAGGCGGTTCAGGCATTTGACATGTCATTACAGTACAGACCCATAAACGAGTGACTACATAAGAACTGCTCGTAACAGCCTTTTGTGTAAACATGTACAAAAACATTAGCAAACCGCAGAACGTAAATAAAGTCTTCTGGACAGTCATTCAGTCGGTCAAGAAAATTTGTGATTTTGTGGAAACTGAAGTACTGGAAGCGGGGGGAGGGTTGCAAGCTAGACATCTACCCCTCCCCCCCCCAGATTTCTGGAAAAGAACATTACAACTGAGAAAAGGAATTCTAACTAATTCCACGGAGCTGGGTCCTTCTTGAGAAGCCACCAGTCACACACCTACCCAAGAACTTCCCAACTAACTTCACGGAGCCGGGCCCTTATTGAGAAGCCACCAGTCACACACCTACTCAAGAGCTTCCCAACTAACTTCACAGAGTCGGGTCCTTCTTGAGAAGCCGCCAATCACACACCTACTCAAGAACTTGCCAACTAACTTCACAGAGTCGGGCCCTTCTTGAGAAGGCACCAATCACCCAAATACCGAATATTAATATCAAAAGTCAAAGGTAAAGCTGCCCCTGTGTTTAATTAATGAAGCACAACGCCATGAAGACGTACGGGGGAGTGGACGTATAGCTCCGCAATTCTTGACCTCGACACTAGTTGGAGGTAGGTGGTCAGCTTCATGCACCAAAAATTAAAATTATTTTTAAAAACTTATTCTTCTATTCTGAATACCCTAGGGCATTAGTTACCAAACTTAATGCCCACCCAACAGCACCCGTCAGCGTAGCAAAGACTTCATCGCACCGTTCTTCTTACTGTACTGACCCTTATAGCCTTACTCACTTGCAAACATGTGTTAAATTATTCTTCGTGGCCTCCTTCCGTCGCGAACCCTTGAGGGTCGCGAACCACACTTTGTGTAGCCACGCTTCAGACAAATTAATTCGCAGTGTAGTTGACCCATAAGTATATCAATGGTCATCTGTCAGTAAGGTAAAGATGAAATATATATCACATGACGGAGTAGGGTGACGCACAGGTAAAGTTCCACGCATTATTAAGCCGAAACTAGATGGAAGTGAGTTTCTTGCTCTAGCCACTCTTATTCTCTGAAGAAAAGTCAATAACTGACTAAATATTGGTTAAAGATGTCGGTTCCGACCAGGGAGAGTCAATAAATATGTCACAAATGGATATAAAACGTAAAACATGTGATATTCGAACCTGGAAAAAACATTTCTCTAGATATCTTCCACTAACACTGTTACACTTGTTCCATCGTTTTACACAGGCGTTGAAACTCACAGCATAGAAGTTCTTTGGCTGTTGTCCTAGCCACTTCTGCATCTCCGTTTCAACTTCTTTGTCATCAGCGAAACGTTTGCCACGTTTCTCGACCCAGCTGTGAACCACTTTACGCGATATACACTTCCCACCGTAAACAAGAAACATTTCTTTATTAATATCCTTCGCATTGAGTCCTTTTACCCATGAAAACGCACATCAGAACGTTGCTCCTCGGTAGTACACCCTCAAGCGTGATCGCCATCTTGACTACTGAAATCAGCCTCTGAAAATGCGCATGCGCGTCTACTACATAGACTGTCATGAAGCTGAACTGTGCTGCTACCTAGTGATACACATAGAAAAGTCATTACGTCAATTACAGCTGTTTTACTTCCATTCGTGGCCTATTTACTGAGTCTCCCTCGTATTACCAAGTTCTTTCCCCGATATGAATCATGAAAAGTCAAGGGGGCACTGACGTGTGTCATTTGCGCCGTAAGGCCACATTGTGTCTGACAAGCGTCTCTCATCGTTTCTTACAGCAGGCCAGCAACAACAGTTCCGTGCGCTTGCCCTTGGCCAACGTCCGTTCTTAGATTCACCCTTCACGAACCATCTCCGGGAGCTCGAGTCCTACCACCATCACCACCACAGACGCAAGAGCGAAACGGCATCTGGTGGCGGCTTCAAGGTGCCAGGCGCCGCTACTACCCCCGTCCAAGGTAAGACATACGGATTTCATTTTCAATTAAAATTATGAGTACTAACTTCGGGAATATAACGCCGTGTAGTCCGTTGAAAGTCAACAGACGTTTCGGAGGAACATATCACCTCCATTTTCAGGGTCGAATAAGCAGAAAAAGATACCAGCGTGAAAGCAAGTTGAAAACATCAGCTCACGCTGGTAACTCGCTCGGCTAATTGGACCCTGAAGGTGGAACCGATATGTTCCTCCGAAACGTCGGTTGACTTTCAACAGACAACACGGCGTTATATCTCAGAACTTTTCTTCCGTAAGGTAGCCTATACAGAGTATGACCTCCTGATGCGTAGAGTTCATGTACGACAATTTCTTTACTATTAGGCTACTACGCGGTAGCGTAGTTGGTTAAGGCACTATTATACAAGCCAGAAGGTCGCGGGTTCAAGTCCCGATGAGGTTATTGGATTTGTTCAATTGACCTAATGCTTCCAGCCGCACTATGGCCCTGGGGTCGACTCAGCCTCTAACAGAAGTGAGTACCAGGAATCTTCCAAGAATAAGGAGTAAGGCTGACAACCTCACCTCCATCTGTGAGCCGATTGTCTACAAAATGTGAGACCTTCAACATCTCACAACCCTATGAGCCTCCACGGCCTGTTACAGGGATAGCTTTACTTTTACTCTTTTTTACTTTTATTAGGCTGTTAAAGGCATTAAGCAACAAATCCGCGAAGGAATTTGTTCCTTCCTTTTCGGTTTTACGGTTCTTACGGCAGCGACTATGAAGTGTGCTACCTTCTGGCATGTGACACCGTGCAGTCCGGTAGAAGTTTAGGGCTTTTAGAAGAGTCGAAGAGTATGCCGAACAAATAGTATCTTACTCCTCGGAATTACTGGATTTTCGGACTTTGTCTATCGCCCAGTATTCTATTTCCGTCCTCAGGCAGGGCGGGGGAGACACCTACTCTGTTAGATCCTTTAGAAAGAGCTAACCTCAATCACTCCCACCTGAGGACGGAAACAGTTCCAGTTTCCGAAACGTTATATTTTCTAGTTTTTAGAATACCGGACGATGGCTTACCCTTCGACCATAAGCACATACGTAAGTAATAANTAAGATCTAGAAAAACCGAAGTGAACGGAGAAGTTTATGGAGGTAGGCCTAGGCGCACTGGGGCTGTAGTGCCATGGGGGGAAAAAAGTGGCGCTGGGGCGGGTTTTCTACGACCACTTCGGTTTCCTCTGCCAATTTTCATTCCACCAATTGCTCCATTATCATATCACCCGGGGCAGGCTACAATAGGCCTATCAGTGGCCGCCGTGCCGAGTTGATCCAGTTGGACTCCACCCCCCACTAAGCTTCACCGAAACGTCGATTAATTTCTACCGGACTATACGGTGTCAGATCCCTGTAGAAGTTTGTTTTATATTACAGGGTAACGACTAGACTGTACTCTTTCTCATTACTTTTCTTGCGTAAATCAGAAGCTACAAAGTGCATCATATGCCTAACGAGGTATTCCTAAAGTCACCCTGAAATTGTTGGGGTTCAAAGTTTATCTCCAACACCTCCAAGCATGTGCTAGCCTTCAGAAAGAAACCGTCTCATTCCCCAGCCTTACATTCTGAACCTTCCAAACGAAAAGCTAACAAAAACGTATTGTTGGATCCTCTTATGTACGTAACAAATAGTTACGCTGTTGTTACTATAATGAAGGCTCTACTAACTTGACTATGTCAAATCACACGCAAATGCTGCCATCTGGAGAGCGCAAACTGAAACAGTAACATGTGCGTGTGTATAAATTGCTTTCACAAAATGGACCAACAGACAAAACCATAATCTAGTTCAGGGGTAGTTAAGCCTGAACGACTTATTTGATGCTGGATTGAAAGTATTTCATTACATTATGTAATTTAACGACGTTGTTTCAACTTCAGAGGATCTGAAACGTTCAATGGGGAATAAGATGGCATTGCCCTATTTAAATGTATTATCACGTGTCCGGGGTTCCGTGACTAATACTAATGGGTTCTGGATTGGGCGATTGGATTTACTGGCACATCTTTACAATTACAATCAACTACAACAGCTCACAATCCATGGCTGCCTACGACTCGCTCCGTACCTTACTGGACTACGCGTGTCTTCTCTTCCGCTGCGACTGACTTGGTTCTGATTTACGAATTGATCACTTATACTGTGACTGTCTTGAACGACTATTGCCTTCTGAATTCTCTTGCGAACGAATCACTGAATTCCTTACGAATGAATCGTACTTCTCAGCACGGCTACGTATATACGCTACCGGTAACCATGGAAAATGTCTGTTGCCTGTCTGTTGCCATGGAACCGCTGCCTAGTAAGGACTTATTCTGCGTCTGTTTGTTGCTGCGGGATTGTGTTTTGCGAGCCGTTGGCTAGCAATGGATTTCCGCTTTGGCTCGACTATTCCAGCTTTCAGGCGTCATGTCACAGTAATATTCTAGCCTTTGCACGACGAAACGCAATAAATATCTCCGTTAGGATAGCCGATAATCACGTGGACATTAGATTGTTTATAACAGTTCTTAGGTTGAAGGATGCTCTCTCTTCGGATGTGACGTCACGTAATCCGGTGTAAGTCTACAGACGTTCCGGATGAACGGTCTGCTTCTGCCTTCAGTGTAGAGTGCGCTAAACAAGGAACCAGCTAGAAGCAAGCAACAGATAGGTGTTGTCTGCTTCTTGTAGGTTGCTTGCTTCGCTTACTCTTAGACCCTGAAGATGGAGATAGTATGTCCCTCCGAAAAGTCATAGAACTTATATCAGACCACACGGCGTCACGTGCCGGAAGATAGTACTTTTCGTAGTCACCGTTATGACAATCTCATGAAATAATCTTTTTCTCAGGAAATACATCAGTGGCGATTCCTTCTGAATAATTACACGTATTCTGACAGTAAAGTTCGCGAACTCGTCGCAGTTAAAGTATTCGTTGCTGAATATCAATGTGGTCTCCTTCAAAATATTGTCCTTTGGAAGCTATGCACCGATGCCAGCGCCTAGTTCATTCTTCAAAACAATTTTGGAACTGGTTTTATGGTATGGCCTTCAGAGCTGCTATCGCATTACACCTGATGTCATTAATGTCATCAAAATGCCTCCCATTCAATATTTTCTTTATCTTCGGGAACAGAAACAAGTCACTTGGGGCTAGATCCGGTGAATAGGAAGGGTGTTCCAGCACATTTATTTGTTTACTAGCTAAAAACTCCCTCACAGACAGTGTTCTTCAGTGAGCTCCTTTGGGACCATTTTTGCACACCTTCCTCATGGCAAGATCTTCAGTTAAGATTTTCCTAACTGTTTCTCTGTCGATGTTCGCTTCATCTGCTTTGTTCCTGACAGTCAGCCGATCTTCACGCACATTTTTTTCCTCAGTTCTGTTCGTTGCTGGACGTCCTGAACTCTCTTCATCAGTGACACTTTCTCTTCCCTCAGAAAAATGTGTCACCCACTTATAAACTGCTGTTTTCTTCATAGCATTATCCCCTAAACTTTCAGCGGTTTCGCTTCCACTCTTGCCAAGTTTAACAAGAAGCTCCGACAGTCTCGCGATGTCACACCAAAACACACTCAGACAATAATAGACGCCACTCAGAAAGAGACTGCCGTATACCAACAACAACAAAAAAAATAAACTCCGTGATTTTAGTCCGCAAGCGAACTATACCGACCGAGAGACCGCCGCTTGTCAGCGAAGTTTAGTGCCAACTTTTGCGGATAGAGGGTGTCACATGGTCAGCGCAACGAATCCCCACGGCCGTTAATTTGATCAACAACAACACAGCTGTGAAACGCTGATATACCAACGTTATATAACCCAGCAGAGTTTTCTGTCCACTACTGCCACGGCACGCACACGGTGGCGAGTTCGCGAACTTTATTGTCACCTTATAAGGTTATCTTGTTCGGCATACGGATCAATGGCATAATGAATGTTTGCGTTCCATAACAGACTTTATAAGGATGAGGTGACAGGAGGCTGGAGAAAACTGCATAATGAGGACCTTCATAACTTGTACTCTTCTCCAAGTATAATTAGAATGATCAAGTCAAGGAGGATGAGGCGAGCTGGGCATGTAGCACGAATGGGGAGACGAGAAATGCATATAGGATATTGGTGGAAAAGCCAGAAGGAGACCACTGGCAAGACCAAGGCGTAGGTGGGTGAACAATATTAAAATGGATCTTAGAGAGATATTGTATGGATTGGATTGATCTGGCTCAGGATATGGAGAAGTGGAGGGGTCTTGTGAACACGGTAATGAACCTTTGGGTTCCATAAAATGCTGGAAAATTCTTGAGTAGCTGCAGAATTGGCTTCTCCTTAAGAAGGGCTCAGCTCCATAAGTAAGCAAGCAACAGACTTTATGTTTCTTATCTAGTTGAGCAACTAGTAGCTTCTATAAGGACTCTCTTTAATTCAGTTCGTTGTTAGCTTATTTAATGACGTTTTTCCCAATTGCAGGGGCGATTTAATGGGGTGTGTGTCCTACTTGATATATCGTTACATATTACTGTATGTCTTTCTTTATGCAGCATAGTGTGCCGTTTAGTGACTATCTCCCCGCCTGCTGCTCCCTCTGGAGCACAGGGCATCCATAAAACGCTTCGTTTCACTTCAGTTTCTTAATCTTAGACAGTCAGTAGGACTCCTTGGACGGTGGATCAGCCCATCGCAAGGCCGCTACCTACACAGGACAACACAAACACAGAAAAAACGTACACAGACATCCATATTTTGAGTGCGATTCGAACCCACGATCCCAGCGTTCGAGCGGGCGAAGGCGTTTCATGCTTTAGACCGCGCGGCTACCGTGATCGGCATTTAGTGAATAGTGTTTCTGTTCTAATTGGCGTGTACATTGCTCTCATTAGCTATATTGCGGTCTTCTGTGATGTGACGTCGTGTAGTCTGGTAGATAAGTACCAGCATTTCGGAAGAACCTGCTCCCTCCGTCATTATGATCAGT